TTTTTTCTTCAAGAAATTGCTGATTCTGGCTTCTACCCCTAAATTTTCAAATAGCCCTCTTTATGAATCATTTATGCCCCCAATAATTTCAGACACTTGTGACCTTCTTCCTTGATCACTAATCTCTCTTTCCTCCAGCAGCTTTATTTTGTTGGTTTCTTTTTCATTTCTAAGGAAGCTGCGTGGATGAGTAGAGATCACACTGGATTAATACCACAGAGGACTGGACTCAGGTTCCAGAGTTGGCATTGACTACCTGTGCGATGATGGTTCCATTTTCTTATCTCTAATGGGGCCCAGGACTTTACAAGAACTCTAATATCCTGACTTTACTAAGGGTCATCTTCCACATATATCCACTTTCCTGGTATAACTCTCTCTTTAATTCCTACAAGAGCTGGACTCTCCCACAAAATCATACAAAAACATCTAATTTATGTATCTGGAGTCACACCTCATTTTCTCCACCTCATTTTCTTTGCCTCTCCTCTCTCTCACTGGTGTCTGGGCCATCTGCTCTTCTTGGCTCAGGACCACTGGCCCTGCCTCACATTCATAGTCTCCCCTGTAGCCTATGGGTTTTCTGCTATGCTGCTTCTATACTTCACACCTCGTACTTTCAGTTACCTACAGTCCACGTGCTCTAAAAATTTCACTTTGAGTTGGCTTTATTCAAGGCAGCATACCTGATCTACGTGTGGGTTTTCTGATCTAACTAATCCTTCCAACTTTCAGAGCTCCTTGAGATGTGCTTGTTCTCTCCTGCATCCTGACTAGGGAGGACCCTCTTTCTATCACTAATTATATGGGCAGACAACTTTTAATACCTTCAGGGAAGTTTTATGGTGTATATAAGCAGATAAAAGGGGATGGCACTAACTGCAAAACACTAAATATATATATACGTGTGTGTCTGTGTGTATTTTTAGAATATCTGTCCTCTTTGCTATCATACTGCTTAATAGAAACTGGTTGGAGAAGGGATTGCAGCATGGCTATCTCATTTTTCCTGTCTCTGTGTTTATCTGTCTCTCTCTGGTGAGTCCATGTGAGTCCATCCTTTGGCAAAAATATTTTTTTTAAATGCTTAGTATGACTTAGTATGACTTCTTCTTTTCTGCATCTAAGATAGCATTTACTGGGACCAGCCGTCAGTGTCATGGCTATGTCGCTGGACTCCCATGTAGTAAACCATGGTTCAAGTCTCAGACCTGGTAGCTTAAACTCACACCAGGCACATGTGCGTGCGTGCCCAAGATCCTGAGAGGAGAATGGAGGAGGGGGCATTGCGGCTTGGCCATCTCCCCAGGGGGTGATTTCTCACTTTCTGTCTCTCT